GTGATCTAAGAAAGACTGAAAGAGAGATAAGGTCTTTTGGCACCAGGAAAATTTTAATATTTTTTCATTAATCTTTACAAAACTGGGAGCTCTGACAATGTTTTACTGCTGATTTAACCAACCTTTGTTACCATCTACCTCTGGGCTATTTGTTATGCAAAATAATCCCAATTGTTTGTGTAGTTTAAATATCCTGTTTCCTATAGGCAAAATCATCCTAATTTATCTGACCCCTAAAGGCAGAGGAAAATGAATTCCTCCTAGCTCCTTGATGTCTCAGGACAAAGCCTAACCCATCGCAGCATACCAGAAATGTCTGCCTTCTTCACTTTACCTTTAAAAACTGCATATGTATTTTGCATTTGAATCCATAATATATCCATGGTTTCTTTCGATATTTTTTTCCCCACCCCTTTCCCCCAGAAAACAACTTTAAGACTTGACCAAAGATGTGGGGAAGGACAGAGAGGGGCCGATCTTTTGGAGCGATTAATAATTGTATGTTTCAATCCATCAATTTTTTTAAAAAATATTTTTTCTATATTTTAGAGAGGAAGGGAGAGGGAGAGAGATAAATAGAAACATAAATGAGAGAGAACATTTATTGGCTGCCTCCTCCATGCCCCCGACTGGGGATTTGGCCCACAAGCTGGGCATGTGCCCTGATAGGGAATCGAACCAGCAACTTCTTGGTGCATGGGTTGACGCTCAGGCACTGAGCCACACCAGCTGGGTAATCCATCATCTTTTAAAATATAATTTCCACTGATTATCTTCGATTTAATTTGATTTCTAACCAGTCAGTTTCAAAGACATTACTTAAACAGTAGACATATAAATGAAGTTTTAAATAAATTATTTTCCAAACAGTCTTTTTTTTTAATGAGTTCCTTGTCTTGTAGTCTTTAATATAGGACTTATGAGAGTTGTAACATCTGTCCATAATACACCCATCATTGCCATTGGTGGTAGTGAAAAAGAATAAATGATTCATTAAGGTTTGTTTGATAAGTAAACAAAGAGGGCTAAATAAGAATACATTAACTTGGTGGTTGGTTCTTTTAGCCTTACCTTTCTCTATAGACATGTTAAGTGTTTCTCCTCAGATTTGGTTGACTTTTTTCTGAAAATATTCCCTATTCAGTTACCACTAACACTATGCTGATGACTTCTGGCACCACTGAAACTGGACACTATACAGGTCAGAGGCCGTCTGTCACTACTGAGCCAAATTAAGCAGAGGCAGGGTTGAATCATATATGAGCATCTATTTCAATAATGCTGCGGTATAGAGAGAGCAGCAGGTCATCCTGAAAATTCTGCTCCTACTAGCTGGCTGATTATATAGGGATAAGGAAGAAGGGCTACGTGCAAGGGGGAAAGAGGGCAGGATAAAGGCAGCAGGGTACATGGTCTGTGTGTCTCCTTCCAGGATCTTGAAGTCTGATAACAAGGTAGTTAATTTTCTATGATGTTTAAAAATCAGCTCAGCTCATTCCTGGGACCAGAGAATGGTCAGCATTCCTGAGGCAAACTCCTGGAGGGGGTCAGGGTCCAGGCACAGCAACCAAGTCAAAGTGTGTCCTGTCCTTGGCCTGCTCTCAAAAGATATTTTCTTTTCTGAGTAATGGACCCATCAGGCTCCAAGGCATCTTATCTTTTTACAGCCCTGTTTTTCTTCTTGCAACACATCCTCTGTAAGAAAACCTCTTATCTATAGTTAGTAAGGTGAATAATCATGAAATAGCTATGGTCCTATTTCTGTTATGTGCCCCCATTACCACCATTTCCTCTGAGTGACTTGTCTTTATGTAAGAGAAAGCTAAAAGAGATGTATGTGGATAACATTTAAAAATAGCTCCAGAAAGTAACTAAGACATCCAGTGAAACTGAAGTACTTAATAGCACCTTTTTATATACCTACAGGCTTCAGTCAGTGTCATTCATAATGTACTATCTCTAACCTTGAACCGTAGTTTTTTTTTAAATCTTTATTAGAAGAGCCCTGGCCCGTTTGGCTCAGCGGTTAGAGCGTCGGACTTCAGTCCAGAGAGTCCCGGGTTCAGTTCCCGCTAAGGGCATGTACCGTGGTTGCAGTTTGTCCCCAGCCCTGGTTAGGTCCTGCGGGTGGCAACCACTCGATGTCCCCCTTTCACATCCATGTTTCTTTCTCTCTCTCTCTCCCTCCTACTCTATCTGAACAAAATACGGAAAAATGTCCTCGGGTGAGGATTAAAAAAAAAATCTTTATTAGAAGAAAAAAATAATTAGTAGTCTGATAGCTAATTTAGACTGTAGACTTTTCTCAATTTTCACAGCAAAGATCATGCTATTCCAATTGTTCCTGATCCCACTTCTGGGAATATAGCCTAAGAATCCTGAAATACCAGCCAGAAAGATTTTATGCACCCCTGTGTGCATAGCAACATTATTTACAATAGCTAAGATCTAGAAATAGCCCAAATGCCCATTAGTAGATGAGTGGATACAAAAACTGTGGTACATCTACACAATGGAATACTGTGCAGCTGTGAAAAAGAAGGATCTCTTACCTTTTGAGACAGCATGGATGAACCTGGAGATTATAATGCTAAGCAAAATAAGCCAGTTTGAGAAAGACAAGTATCACATGATCTCACTTATATGTGGAATCTAATGAACAAAATAGGTCCAGAAACATGGAAGTACAGAACAGAGTGACAGATTTCAGAGTGAACCGGGGAGGGAGATAGGGGGAAAGATTAGCCAAAGAACTTATATGCATAGCCCATGGACACAGACAATAGTGAGCTGAAGGCCTGGGGTGGGGTGTGAGCCTGTTGGAAGGGGAGAGGGAAGGAGGAGGACAATGGGGACATCTGTAAATACTCTGAACAATAAAAAAAGAAATAGAAAAAAAAACCCTTAAATTTAAATCACTAATAGTATACCATGTCCTTGACATCTTCTTCTGAATTTATAATCCAAAGTTAAAGAATTGTTTAGCTATATTTGATTTTAAACATTGATATAAATTTTTTATTAAAGTCCAGTGTTGGCCCCTGCTCTCCGTGCATTGTTTGATTCTGCTGGAAGGGGTCAGTCTTGCTCCAAACCCTGGAACCAAACAGCGGAGCTTATGGTCCAGAGGCACCCCAGAGCGTAGGGATGGAAGTTGTGTTATTTTCCTAGAGCTGCTGTAACAAATTGCCACAAACTTAGTGGCATGACAGAAACTTATTCTCATAATTGTAGAGGCCAGAGGTCTGAAGTCAGTTTCCTCTAAAGGTGTTCCTTGGCTTGTAGCAGCATAACTTATCTTTGCCTCTGTCTTCACATGACCTTTTTCCCTGTATGTCTTTGGGTCTAAATCTCCCCCCTCCTTTCTCTTGTAAAGATACAGGTCCTAAGTCCAGAATGATTCCATTTCGGATCCTTGAGACCCTATTTCCAAATAAGATCACATTTTGGGGCTCTAGGTGGAAATAAATTGAGGGGTGCACTGTTGAACTGACTATAATAATATTTAATTAAGATTCTTTAAAAAAATAATAGCATCTTTTGTTATCTAAAACTTTCACATTTGTTATCTTACTGAGTTTTATAACATTTATGTTTATATGAAATACTTCCATAGCATCTCCTATAGAAAGGAATATTTTTCAGGAAATTCTTGTATTTTCTCTCTTTATTACATTACTTGTTCCTCTTCCAAGAATGGATGAAATTAGAGTGAACCTGATCCACGAGCCCACATTTAACCGAGACACGAAGAGACATGGAATTGCACGGAACATAGCTTTCCCAGATATGTGTGTACCCAGAACACCAGGAGCTGTGCTTCTGGTCTCCATACAGTAAGGAGACCCAGCAGAGGCTCTTGCTGTGTCCAACCAAGTCTTTCTTTTCAGTTGTAATGTCTCGGCCTGCAGCCAGGTGAATAAATCGGTCAAACAGGTCCCAAGGTCTTGGGTCAAGGAATGAGATTGGAAGCCCTGTTACTCTCTATTCCAGCTTTACCAGTTATAATATGCAGTCTCCATTTACCCAAGTGCTTTGTGTTTGTGCTCCATCATCCAGAACAGTAATCAGAAAAGATATTAAAGTACCTATTTTAAAAATAAATTTTAGCTAAAATACTGTAAAGGAATTTTTAATGGAAGCCCAGTAAGGCCAGCTAGTTGTTGCTAAGGTCAGGAGTTAGAACCCAGATTCCTGACTTTATATAGTTAGCTTTTTATGCTCACTTTCATCACTCTCCCCACTCCTAATTAGAACTCGGATTGGAATTTGACCAACATTACAGGTAAGAATCATTGTGTGTTAAATCTATCATTTTTTATTTCCAAGTGACTACTATGGCTTGCATTTCTTGGGGAGAGGTCAGGAATCCTTGCCTCTGTATAAACAATGCTGTTACCCATGAAGAGATATTAATAATTATTAAACCTCATATAAATCTGTGTTTCTGAAACCTTATTTAATAGGCAGCACCTGCAAAAACTAAATGTATTAGAATTATGTAAAACTTCTTGCTATGTTTAAATTAGGTTAAACTTAGGTTAAACTTATTCTCTTCACTGATTATTTACAAATGTCAAATAATTCTCTTCACTGTTTATTTACAAATGTCAAATAATTCATTTGTAGTTATGCTATGTAAGCTGCCAAAACATATGGCTGATGTATGTTATGTTTCAAAGAATGTCTGAAAATTATGAAGTGGTTTTGTCTTGTGCCATTTTACAGCATTGTTGTTTTATATGCTTCAAACAGATATGTGCAACTTATTTTTTTACCAGTCTTATTTCAGAGGTCTCATAGTGTAGCTTACTGGATTTTCTTATGCACTATTCTGGATCACATTGTTTTTGTTTAAGATCATTTGAATGGCTGGGGTTTGTCCTCTGATGCGTTTTTCATTACAGCTGCTCAAAATAGGTTCTTGGTGTACTCTGCCATTGTAACTAGACCACTTGATCTTCCTGTTGAATTCTAATTGAAGCTCCTTTTCTTTTCAGGTATTTGTATCTGCTGTTCTCCGGTGATGACCTTTTACCTTTAGACCACTGGGTGTTTAATACAGAGGCTCACCCTCTGCCCGTGTTGCATTTAGCCAACACCACACTTTCAGGAAACCCTGCTGTTCGATGAAAGCAGCTCCAGAAAGACCATTCTCACCTGTGTTTTGTTTACATGGACCACTATAGAAGAGTCTGGAGAGGGGACTTCAGCACACCTGAACCTCTTAAGTCAACATAACAGGGTGGAACATGACTTATTCCCCACAGACTTTCAACTTGTAGATATCTCAACTTTGAAATAATTCCATTTTATACCTGACCAAAACATATTCCGGTATATGTAGGACAGAGACATGATGTGCTTTGATTCTTAACGAGATGGTCACATGGGAAATTATGCCAGTTACTACGATACTGTTTTTGGAGACCTGGAATCTGGAGGCCAGACTTCCTAAGAATAAGCCAAGAATGTGGAGCATCTTCAGGAGGTAGAGATGGCCTTTGGCACCAGTCAATATCTGTCATCTCCCAAAATGGAGCAGCTTTCAAATCAAATATTTACACATTGTTTAGCCCCTTTTTCTCCATTTTTAATAATGGAATGAACTAAAATAAACAAGAACAAAAGAACACAGTAACTGTATCAGTACCAAGAAGACTTGGAAAAGAAACAAAAATACCTACCCCTGTCTGAATTTTCAAGTACCCCATTGGATGATGAGACCGGCAACCATTTCAAATCCCAATCTATTCTAATGAAATTCTTAATTAAATTAAATTTTCTCTGCGGGCATGATCTTGCAAAAAATATTCTTTAAGTCTTTTGTCTCCATATGGAATCATTTAAACTATTTGTTATAACTACTAATCATGAGCCTGAGTTTGGGACATTGTGCATGTCATTCAGTCTAGTGTTGGTAGCATGACAAAAAGTGGGGGAAATGCCGCAGTTTGTTGCCTTGAAACCTGTTCTAAGAGAAAGCCTGGGTTTTGTTGGTAGGAGATTATTTTTCCAAACCAGCAAATGTACGAAGTAAATTTTAACCATTTTAACCTCGTTATAAACTTAGTAGAATCCCTTAACTTACAACTTTATTTATGTGGCTTGGCAAAATTCACTATACTATGCAGCTCTGAATTTCCTTGATGAGCCAAATTACTTTCACAGTGTATTAAATCAAAAACAAAATTCATACAGTGAAACTTCCTTAAATAGTCTGAAATGGGGACATGAGATCCTTTATTATCTGATCAGATGAGTGAGCTTTTCAAAAATACATAGTCTGTCTGAAATGGGGCATGAGATCCTTTATTATCTGATCAGATGAATGAGCTTTTCAAAACTATTCTTATGTAAAAATAAATTTAACTTTTATTTTCTCCAAGGATATAGAATTCCAAAGACTTAATCAAAATATTTGCAAAATAATTTTTAGTGATATAATTAATCATATTACACTGAATTTGGGATATAGCTAAAGGATTTTCTTTGTACCATCAGTAGATTTTGCAATATTTCTTTTTAAATAAATTATTTCTTTCTTTATATTTGGGGGAAGAACTTAAATTTTATCAAGAATTATATTGTAAGATAAATATCTAATGCTTATAAATTTTCTGTCCCTTGAATTTATGTCACACTGCAAGATACTTTTTCTTATTATTATTTAATACAAACAGCTTCCATTGACAATAAAAGTTGGGAGTAGTATAATTAGTCTAATATTTACTATGAATTTAAAGATTTCATAAAATAGTGTTGGTGCAAGAAGCCCACCTTGGAATTCTGAAGACTTATTTTCTTTTTTTTTTTCCTCACCCAACGACATTTTTTGCATTTATCTTCAGATAGAGCAGGAGGGAGAGAGGGGGTAAGAGAGAGAAAGAGAAACACCGATGTGAGAGAGACACATGGACCGGCTGCCACCCACACGACTCCAACTGGGGCCAGGGACAAACTGCAACCAAGGTATGTGTCCCCAGCAGGAACCTAACCCAGGCCTCTCTGGTTCACGGGCCAACGCTCCAACCGCTGAGCCAAACCGGCCAGGGCTATTTTCTTATTTTGATAGCTTTTCTTTTTAACCTTTCATGGGCATATAGTAGATTTAAATTGGGTAAAGATTTATAAATTAATATAATTAAATATTTTCTAAGGGTAATCATCTTACCCCACAGATAGTCAAACAATCTTCAAGAGTTCAGCAAATGATCAATAATGATAACCACCCCGAGTTTTTCAGTATACATAGAAAACAAGGGTGTGAAGCCGGTTGTATTATTCAAATCTTTAAGATTAGAGTTTAACTTTAGCACATATTTTGAAATTGTAACATCTTTTACTACTTGAAAATTAAAATTTTAACTGAGAAGGGTAGATGGATTATAACTTCAGAAGAGAACGGGAAAGAAAGTATTTGGTTCTCAAAAAAAGTGCAAATCTTGAATTGGCAAGGACCCAGAACAGCCATGTAGATGGCAAAGAATGCTTCCTCGCTTTGTTTATTTTTATCCTCACCCGAGGATTTTTTATTTATTTTTTGCATTTATCTTCAGATAGAGCAGGAGGTGGACAGGAAGGAAGAGAGAGACAGAAACATCAATGTGAGAGAGACAAATCAAGTGGTTGCCACCCACACAACCCCAACCGGGGCCGGGTACAACTGCAACCGAGGTACATGCCCTTAACGGGAACCGAACCTGGAACTCTCTGGTCTGCGGGCTGTCGCCCTAACCGCTGAGCGAAACAAGCCAGGGCTTCTTTTTGTTGTTGTTTTTATCCTTCCTCGCTTTGTTTAAAAGAATTCAGAGTAAAAGCCCGTCTAGGTTCCCCAGGAACTTCTCAAGAAATAAGACAGAACCCTCACTCCTAAGTGCTCTGTTGTAACAATTCCTCAAATGACTGGAGTGTAAAGACAGCAGAGAAGTGTTGCGAGCACAGCCAGCTCTGGTGCAAGCAAAGGGTCTGAGTGGACGTGGGGGGTCTTCTTCACCACGCCCACCTTCCTTGTGATGATGATAAGACTGAGCTTATAATAATGCTTCCAGTTTTTTTCTTCTGAATACCAAAGGCAATTAAAGTCAGCTACAAATGACTTGCCAGTATCATTTTATTTTTGTTACCAATTTTTAAAATTTCTTCCTCCGAGATCTATCTATATGCCATATTCTGCTTAGTTTCCAAGAGTATTCTTTACTTTCTTCTGTCCTTGATAGTCCTTTGGATTTTGTAGATCTGTTTCTGAGGTTAAATAACTCATTACATGTATAAAACCTGTGAAGAGCCTAGTAGGCACCTTACTTTGTGCCTTTGGCACAAATATGCAAAATAAGTCAATTGGTACATAAGAAAAATAGAGATGTTGGAATACCCCCTCTACCTTCTACATTTTTTCTTTTGCAATTTTAGAATCACACCTTTTGTTCAAACCAGTATAAAGTTGTTAAGGCCAAGAGAATATGGCCCTAACCAAAAAGAAGTCTCTGAAGAAAGCGAAGTCCCCAGTCAGAGGGTTCTTCCTTTCTGGTGGGTATATGCTGTTTTGTGTCTCTCTGACACCAACTTATGCCTGTCTTGGCACAGATGTTTATACAAATGGGTATTGAAGGAATGTGTTCCTTTTGTGGACTATTGACCCTGATTTTCTGAGATGTCACCTAGGGCAACCCAGAGCTTCGCTTGGTACATTTTAACCAAGCAGTTTGAAATTTTGATCATCTCCTCTCTACTCACATTGCCAAAGTCTTTGTCAAAACTACAAGTGTGTTGATAAAAGACTGCTTGCCATCTTCATTATGCATCTTCTCCTTAAGCCTGGGTTTCTGTGAATGAGTGTGTGCGTGCGTGAGAAGGAGTGAGCGAGCGTGGCGTGCCCACTACGTGCCCGGCAGCGTGCTCGGCATTGCTGGCATTGAAACACTGTGATTCCCGTGGCATTTCCTGTATTAGAGTAGTTCATACCATTTCAAATGTTTTCCAGTATGAATCATGTTTCAAAATTCTTAATTTTATATTTCACTGAAATTAAAGAGTAAAAGAAATTGTTTATATGTTAAACAATGTATTACTATATAATCCCTACAGCTATATGTAGTTAACTAAAATCTCTTGGAAGATGTCAAAAAAAATACTTGATTTCTGATGTAACTTAGACTAAAATATTTGGAAATAGATGCAAACATTCTTATTTTGCTATACCACTTTAATTACATAGTTAAAAATCAGTGTTTTCTAGAAATGCTTATTATATATTCAAAAAATTTTGTCACATAATTCATGGGTAAAACTTGGCAATTGCATATTGTTTTTGCTCTGCTCTGTGTCCTATTAAAGGTTCCATACTGTTAAATATAAAGAAAAATATACTAGAATGTTTCTAAATTCCAAATCATAGTTATCAGAATTAGTATTTTGAGTTCTTATTTTTCCTTAGGTTTCCTTACCCTCAAATTGGCTAGCTCATACCCACTCTTTACATAGATATATGCATAAATATAATTATGCAGAGAAAGATTTTTAATACTGTGTGTTTGTTAATTAATAAACACAATTGTTAACAGGTTTTGGCTGCACAACTTTTAAGCAGAATATTTGAATAACCAAATATGGTCTGGAGATATTTTAATGCACTTATTTTAGTTCCAGAACATTGGTGATGATGATTTTCTGTTACTTTAGTTCATTCAGATCATGATGGAGATGCTCTTTTTGGCCTATAATGGCTCAGCAAACTTTTCTGTAAAGGTCTAAATAAATATTTTAGCCTTTGTGAGCTATCCAGTCTCTGTCTACTACTCAGTTCTGCTGTTGAAACACGAAAGCAGCTATAGGTAGTATGTAGATGAAGGGGCATAACTGTGTTCCAATAAAACTTTATGTACAAAAACACGGAGGACTGGACTTTGCCCATGGGTCACAGTTGTTAACCTTGATCCCAAAGTTTAATTTGTGTACAACCCTTTAATCTCTGCTCCACATCTTTTCTTTGTATTTGAGTTACATAATTCATTTTTAAAGCAAAAAGATGTGTATGTGTACGAGTGTATGTATTTGTGTAACCTAAAGCTATATATTTTGTTGTCTTGAAAATAGATATACTCCCCTGGAGTCTGTTCAGGTTTCAGTATGATGCAGCTATCATGCAGGAGGCACGTTCTTTGTTCTTGGGGTATGAAGTCAGCTACTATACTCTTTGCCTTGTCATTTAATGCCACAGTTCTGGAGTCCCCGCGTAAAACCAAGTTTTTCTATGGTGTCAAAATAGTAATTCTAAGTTCTGCCTGCTTTTTGACCTTTGGACCAAGACTGGATTACTGGGGCTGCAAAAATTCCTTCACTTGCATACCCTTAGGGCCCTCTGGCAAGAATACGATAGAATTTCTGACCTTTGTGCTGCAGAAACCAATCTCTTGAAAAATATGAAGCAGCAGAAGATGGGTAATGTGCTATTTGGCAGCCATTATTACTTTTAGACTGCAGAAGGGTACTGCCCCTGTTACCTCTGCAACTGCCTACATCTGAGGAGTGCAGAGAAACGTGTATCCAAAAGGACAGTTCCCCCTCCTCTTCTTTTCATAACTCCTGAAATTCTTCACTAGTCAGTAGCATTATTTCAGAATGTCAATATGCATCATATTTAAATTAAAGTCTCTCTCAATCTCATTCTTACACTTTCACCATTTAACACGTAATCCATTTTAAACTTTGAGCTCAGCAGAACTCATGAAATGACACCATATTACTAGTACATACACTGCAATGCACCAATCAT